TTATACAGTACATTTTAAATCACAAAGTTATAAGGTGCTTCACATTTTAAATAAAATCAGATTATAAGAAATACTTTTTTATATCACAGCATACATAAATACATATTTAAAACTAATTGGTGACAACAAAGGTCAAAATTAAACCGCCACATGATCGGGATAACGAAAACTAGCAAAAATTGCAGAAAAATGTATTTGGTTAAGTTTATTAATTTGATTAGTAAAATTTTAATATTAATTCTACAGTTTGCCAGAAGGCCACAAAGGGAAGCAAGAGAACATGTGGTGTTCTTTGATAATACTTTGAGTTAGATTTTTGCAGTATTAATTACTTGAGAAAACAAGACTGGATGGACTTAGAGGTTCAAAATTCAAGTCTTAGTCAAAACCAAATATTGAACCCAGACCCTGTACACAGTTTTTAACTTAAATAAAAATCACATACTTTGATTTGAATCAAACAATGATTGCATTTCATGCATGAAAATGTTGTTTTATCAGTTTCCTACCACAGGGTTGTAATCTGGTGTTAAAGTTGTATTTGGGAGGTGGGAAATTCAGCTGTAGTGGGGCAGCAGAGACTCAGCTACATTTTGCAATTTATAAGACCATGTTACATTCATAATGGCAGTTTTCCAACTCCTCACCAGTATAAAGCTGGATTTTAGTTGGTATCTTTATCTTTTGTTTCAAAGGTCAATGACGATCGCTGACTTTGCACACAAATAAACTTTTAAAAGCTTCTCCCCAAGCACAAAACAAAAGCGATTTTTCATAAGCTGTGATTTTATTTTGTTTTTGAGACTTTTTTTCTATAGCATGTTTGAAATACACAATGGATAATATAGCTGAACATTGCATGCACATCATTAGAAAGTCAAATGTTTGCAGAAATATCGCAACAGCAGAAACATGTAGCTTCATCAAACTATAAAACACATCATATGCAGACAGGAAGTGTTGCTGAAGCTCTACTCTGAGCAGTGGTCAGGCGTCCAGGGTTTGAGTGACGGGGCTCTGTCCACTCAGACTGGCCTCACAGCTCATTGAGCCTGCCTTCCTCCACTGGTCTGCAGAGAGGCTCAGGGTGCTGCTCCAGCTGTAGCGGCCATCTGTCCCCAAGACCTCCAGGCTGGTTGAAACCCCTGAGGATGTGCTGGTGCTCCCCACCTTCCAGCCCAAATTCCAGTTTGAGGGGAAGCCCCCGGTGGCCAAACACACCACAGTGGCACTCTGTTTGTCTTCGTCTTTAGATGGAGGAAGGACTGTGAGGGTGGGCCTCACCACACCCGCTGGAGGAGAAAAAGTTGAAGAGAACCAAAAAAAAGAGATACAAATGTACAAACATCTGAATATATATATATTTAGTGATTACTGATCAAACCTTTATTATTTCATAGTGTGTTACAGTTAATAACTTGACTTGTGATAATTTTCTTATTTGAAACTGACAAAGCTAAAGCACTCATGAGAATACAGTTAAAACTTCACATCTGTTTCTTTCACTTCCTTTAAACTTCATTTGAAATTGATCAACCATGAACAAAAACTTGATCTAAATATACTGAGAAAATTATTTTTGATTCTAACAGAACTCCACAAAACATAATTCAATATTTGTTTTTATTTTAAAATTCAGTGGTAAAAATACATTTCAAATCAAAGTGAAGTAAAACGTCACTATCACTGCTTTTAATATCTTAACAAGAGAATATTGAAAGAAGCAAAAATAACTAAAAGAACATTACAATTTGTTGTTTTGTGTTATGTAAAAGACTAAATGAATATTAATTTAAGAAAAGTTCATTTCAAAATTGTGACATCAACTTAATAATAATCACTGAATTTGTTCAAAGTTCTGTTTTGTAGGTTAAAAAAATGCTTAATAAATACCACATTTTTCAAAAATGACAAATTTCTGGTACTTACAGCCAACGATGAGTTTGGTTCCTCCACCAAAAGTCCACCACAGTGATACAAACTCATTAAGTGGCCGTACAAAAACCTCCTGCACTCTGAACAAACCTCTAACCACTGAAAATGAACCTTTTAATATAAAACATCACAGTACACCTTATTAAATGCAGAAGATGATTTAACTTAAGTGACTTAAAATTATTTAATGCATTTAAATCATAATTATCATAATTGTATCTTTAGTATAAAGAATTGAAAGACAAAACTTAATTTTCACATAAACCTAAACATACTTTTAAAACACACACAAACAAACAAAAAACTGTTTAAAACAGCAAACAGAAAACCTTTTAAAAAATCATGAATAATGAGGCTATACTTAAGACAGTTTTACAGGTATATTGTATTTGTTGATACCAAAATCAAAAGGTAAGCATACAAACCAGACTCCCACAGGTGTTAAAAATACTTAAATATGTTTCCAATTATTTTCATCTATTCCATAAAATCATTAATGGTATTAGTTCAAACAATTTTTCTTTTGATATTGTGCCACAAAGTTTCCTTCAGTGTGTTGAGAGCAGAGAAATCATTTCCATAGAGAGGAGGCTTTGCATCATCAGCTGATCCTCCAGAGAACTGAGAAGCTTTATAGTCCTGTGACTTCAACACTGCAGGACTCACATCTGTCAGTCAACACAGCAGAAAGCACAACCACCATGACTCTCATCACCATCCTCATCTGGACGCTGACCTGCTGCTGTTTTACAGGTTCATTCACTCAGCAACATTTCAAACATGATGTGCTGCTTTTTCTCTCATTGATTTCTGCTGATAAATGAATGATTTGTTTTTGTCTGCAGGATGCAGCGGTCAGGTGACTGTGACTCAACCTCCAGTACTGACATCTACTCCTGGATCCACTGTCACTCTGACCTGTAGGACCAATCCAAAAGTTTATACTTGGACAGATGGAGATAGTAAAGTAGCTTGGTATCAGCAGAAATCTGGAGCAGCTCCAAAGTTGGTCATTTACTTGGGTACAAAACCCACAAGTGAATTTTCTTCTCGATTCTCTGGCCGAGGAGATGGAGTGGACGCAGCAATGACCATCAGTGGAGTTCAGGCTGAAGATGCAGCAGTTTACTACTGTCAGAGTTTCCATGAAATAAACAGTGCTTATGTGTTCACACAGTGATTTGTAGTCGTACAAAAACCTTCCTCAGTCAGACTGCAGAGACACTGAGCTGTTACAGCAGGAACTGACTGCAGCTGCTGAAGAGGAAGAAACTCTGACACAGACCACTGAACACACAGCTGATGAGCACTTAAAGACTTAAGCAAGCAATAATAATCATTATTTACTGTATTTCTAAGGTTTAATTTATTTAAAGATATTTTAAAGAATCTAAAGACACCACATAATTCATTTATGTTCCCATTTAATTACCACAAAACAAAACAGTTCTTACTCGAGTACACATTTCAGTTATTAAAACTGAAAATGAAAACATTCTACTTTTCCCTGCTATCAAATATCACCAGATACAAAAGATATGGCAATCTAAATGTCACCTTATTTTTTTTCACTGACAGGTTTAAGATTCCCAATAAAATAAGAAAAAGGGGAAAAGAAAAAGAAAACTCCACAGCCTCAAACAGAGGCCTCAGGCATTTCTTTTTAATGTCTGTGAAAGATTTATAAGCAACACAATTATAACCATCAAAATTAGACTTAGTGAATCCGATAAATCTTTTCTGTGAGATTTCTAAAAAATTAAAAAAAAATACCAATAACAAATTAATTTTCTATGTTAGGAAATACAGTAAAAATCCGTGTAATAATTTGGATGATCTAATAATATTTGATCCGTTTCAAAAGCATAATGTTAGTGCTTTCAATTAAAAATTATTTCTTATCAAGATGCAACAAAAACTCAAGTATCACTGATCTTCTGTAGGGTGTGAACAGTCTGATGTTATAAGAGTTTTCTGTGATTTTGGTTTTTAACAGGTTCATCAGGTCACTAATGTAACAAAGCTCAATAATTATTTCACTTTGCATTTCACACACAAATTTTCTCTCGTGCAAACACGATATTGGTTTGACTGTATGGGTTTTGTTTTGAATGATTGCCAGTTTTACCAGTTTAAGAAAAGTTCATCTTTAATCATCAGTGATATACAGGCTGTAGATACTGGAGAGTGTTTTGCTGACTGTAACCTCACTAAGTACAAATTACAGATTTAGGTTGATTGATTGTATTACATGAATTTTGTCTGAATTTTGAAATAGGGATTTTAAAAATTCTTACACCAAGTTCTGTTCTGTTCACATTTCCTGACAAAGGTGGCTGTTTAAATATAATAATGATAATAGTAATAATAATAATAATATTAATAATATTAAAGGTCATGTTACGTTTACAATGTAACATGACCTGCAAGATTGCTGATCATGCTAAAAGCATGTCCAACATGTTCCAGCAGTTCCACCATGACTCCCATCACCATCCTCATTCACACTCTGACTTACAACTGTTTAATAGATCAGAAATACTTTAAACACAGAAAATAATTTCATCACCAAAAACCCAGATTAGCGCTCATATAAATTCATAAATTTGCAGGCACTATGTTAGTCTTGCAGATATAAGCATATTTTTGGCGTTAAATAAAGACATAGTGCATTATCATTCATCACAATGTTCAGTCAAAATTTAATTTTACAAATTTGAGGCAAAAATGTAAGTGCATAAAATGAAATTGTATGCAGATACAAGTGCATCTATTTTCTTTTCCAATCCAGGGTGGTGTTGACAGAAAACACAATATTGCTTTTACTTTTTAAACTCGAGGAAATGTTTGCAGAATATGCCTGCATTTGTAGCAGTAAAAAATACTTTTACAATTTTTACTAGTTGTTTAAGTTAGACCTACTCACCAATCACCGATCGTGCACTGTGGCACAATCAAAAATTAACTCTCACTTTGTCGTAATTTCGCTTAAATTCACAAGAGGGCAGTGTTGACGTAAACTAGGATTGCAAAGGGAAGGTAGGGGTCTGCTCGAAAAAGTAACGTTTTCCATTTGCGACACAGGTGAGTGCAGATATACGGAGGTGAAATACACCAAGCGTTACAAAAGCAAATGCACAGCGTGTGAGGTCTTGTGCAGGATTTCTTACTTGGAGTATGTGACTGAACTGGTGATTCCACCATAAGTTAAACAACCACAAAATATTTGCTGGAGGCTTAGTGGAGCTTCTATTACGTTTTTACAATAAAGAGGTTTCCGCGTTCTTACGGGAAGTTGATCTTTGGTCATTGCGGAAGGGAAGTTTAACTAGTCTACGTTCTAACTAAGGTGCTTCCAGGCGCACGTCGTTTTATCAGATAGATTGTCTTTACTTTGCATAGACCCACAGAGGCTTCGCGATTCATTTATCATTATGTCATCTTTGCTTTAACGCATCCGCACCTGGCGTCGATTATTGCGCGCTCTCTTCTCTCGGCTTATATAGGCTACTCTGAAAATGAGTGATCCGAGAACAAACTGTTTAAAAACGGCACTTCAGTTGACTTCTCAACTAATGTTGGTAGGTGAGACTTTTTCAGCTTTGCTACAGTTTTTACTGTATTATCTTGTATTCGCCTTCCAATCATATTACCAAAATTAACTTTATTAGAGTGATTAATAGGGTTTTTACTTTTGCCAAGTGTTGATTCTTTCTTCTGTTTAAAATAGTAAATACAGTATTTTTTAAAAAAGCTACTGATATAAAAGATGTTGTTTGCGATTTTACATGTAAACCTTAGTGCGGAGTCACATGTCACGCGACAGAGAAGGTCATGTGAGAAACAGGAACTACAGAAAAATCAGAGTAAGGGAGAGTGGAAGATTCATTATAATATTTCTTTTTATAATCATGCCTGTTAAAAACCGTATTTGTACATTTTAATAGTCCATGTTTACTTCCCTTTATTTTATTTTATTGTTACACAGTGCAAACCTATGATTAGTTCTGTGGTAACTGTATGAGTTTTTTAACAAAGTTAGTAACATAAAAAACAAGCTACACACCTGAGAAAAGTAGAAAGAACCAATGCTCTCATTGCTCTTCAAATAATTCATTTTAAGCCATTCATATTTTAATTTTCCTCTGAATTTCCTGGACAAAAGAATAAGGAACATGTATAACTGCTGTGAGTTATTTTTTAAATTTGATCATACCTCTGTGATTTTCTTGAAACAGTGTTGAATTAAATTAACGCACAGTTATAACAGCCAGGGTAAGCCAACAGCAGTGCATCAGTGGGTGGAAGGTTGCCAGCTGAATTCCCAGAACTATCATGTGAGGCATGTAGCCCAACTGGTGTAGTAACACTTCTGTAGCTGCTAGGTTAGAAAGCTTCCAGGTGAAAATAGGTTTGAACAAAGTATCTTTTAAAAGAAAGAGTTATTATCTTTGGACACGTTGTTGTGTGTACGATGAAACCAGAAGAGTTGGCAGATATTGAGCTTAGCAAAGATGGCTTGGCAAAACAGGAGACCTCTTACTAAGTTATTGTCATAAAGAAAAGATGTGTGGTTATCTGTGGTGAAAACCCATGAAGCTGTGTATCAATAGCATGTGTAAATATAACTTTTATAATTTCTTATTCTAATTTATCAGGCAGTGGGGATACTGGTGTGGCTGAATGGAGTTTACCTGCTGATAAAGTATGGAGAGAATAGCCGCTTTTTTTCAGAGTCCTACATGACCCTGACAGTTTTGGTCATAGTCACTAGTGCTGCGTTGCTATTGGTCACCGGATGCCTCGGCTCCTGGGTGAGCCTCAAGGATTCCATCTGTCTACAGGGACTGGTGAGGCTGTCAGTCTGTTTGTAACTGTGATTATCTCTATGTGTATGTAGTGTTTGGAGTTTACATGAAAAAGTGTTTTCTTCTCCAGTTTGTTTACCTCCTAGTTGTGGTCTTTTGTGTGAAAAGTACGGCTTCAGCACTGGCTTATTTCCATTCGGTGACGGTATGTAAGATTACTTAAAAATTAATAAGCATTGGACAATTGTGCTTTCATGATAAAAGAAGATTATTCTTGGGATAAAGAGGCATATGTGTTTTTGCTCCTTGTCTCTTCCAACTTTTTCTTTAGCTGGATACAGAGATGGCTCCCTTCAGTGGAGTGTTTGAGAACTACACCGGCAGCAGCGAGGACTCCAATTCTCGGTCTGTGGATGCTATGCAAGAGGAGGTTTGTACTTTAATATGTCACATGGACATGACTATGAATCCCAACAAAAGCTTTTTTTTGTTGTTGTTGTTGTAAAACTTGTGTAGCTTGTGCAGCAGTAATACTAAAACAACAGCTATATCTGATCTACTATCCATACTTCTAAATAGATGATGTTTTAAAAATCAAAATATATAATCTTTCCTTAATGGAAATTTTCACTCAAGAGAATATTTAGGTATTGACTGAAAGCATCCCATAAGATGCCTATAAAGTGCTATAATTTTCAGCCCTGATCTGCTTTACCTCATCCAGAAAAATCAGGCTTAAAGTAATTTGTCCATAATACATGGACAAATGTATTATGGTCAGATATAATACATGATATATTAAGAAATTCTAATAAAAAAACAAATCCTGTTCATACTCATGTCAATCAAATATAATATATGTGCATTTTGACAGTTTCCACTGTCTTTTACTAACTTGTGGTGATTTTTTTGGTCTCCGTTAGCTCAAATGTTGCGGTGTGAAGAACTACACGGACTGGCTGGAAACCACCTGGTTTAATAAAAGTGGAGGGCTCAGGTTTCCTTACAGTTGCTGCAACGTTACTTTCCCCACTTGTAATGGCACTGTTTACCAGCCATGGCAAATTTACACACAGGTAGACATGTGCATCCTGATAAATTCATCAAGCTTCTTCATGAAGGTTTGATTAGACCCATCTGTTTCTCTGATTTTCTTGTTCATTGACTCAATCTTTCAGGGCTGCCAAGAGGAGCTGTCGAAGGTCATACAGTTTGCGCTGAAAATGGACATGTGGAGCTCCCTATTGGTTTATGTGGTGGAGGTTTGAAAGACTTTAAACATTTCTGAACTGCATATTGTGTATACATTGCATATAAAATGCACACCTGAAAGAAAAATGAAACACTGGGAGACTGTTATCATGAGAGCAAGCTTTAATCTTATCTTTAATTTTAGTTTGGCCAAATATTTAGCACAATATCTAATATGTAAATTCAATTTTATTTATACAGCGCCAAATCACAACAACAGTCACCTCAAGGTGGTTTATATTGTAAGGGAGACACTATAATAATACATACAGAGAAAAACCGAACAATCATATGACCCCCTATGGGCAAGTACTTTGGTGACAGTGGGAAGGAAAAACTCCCTTTTAACAGGAAGAAACCTCCAGCAGGCCAGGCTCAGGGAAGGGTGGCCATCTTTCTTCCACATGCTGTGGAAAAGAACAAGAGATTAATAACCAGTATGATGTCAGAAAATAGACAAATGCACAACAAAATTTCCAAAGCCTGGACTGACATATTGAATTGACCTATTTTGTCAAACAAAAAAATCTAAAATCCAACTCAATTAGTAGCAACCTTTTAACATTAAGGACTGTTTACAAAGATGTGCTGCCAGCTGGATGCCGAGTAAAGCTCAACAACTTTCAGGTCCTAAGCTTATGACATTGGAAATAACATTTCACTGCGCACCATTATCACTGCTTGTGTGGAAGTCCATTTGACATATAGTGTTATTTATTCCATTGGCAAAATAAAAATGTTGTTTAAAGCAGTCGTTCAAAACATGAACAATAATTTGATAGTTTTTTATTAAAATCTTTAAAATGTGTCACATTTTAATGAATATTTAAACTTTTCACACTCCATTTTCTCTACATCACACATGTTAACTAAGGTGGTTAACGACATAAAAGCTCATCTGTTACAATGATAAATCCACCTAAACATCTTCTGCATCTGCATCATGCAATTTATAAATGGTTTTACTTCATTTAGTGGTGTTATATTGAGCTTTTAATCATAAATTCTTACACATGTTTAACACAGGCTGCAGAAGGTGATTATTTGCCAATAACCAAAATCCTGCTCTTTTTCTTTCTTCTCCTGCAGATTGGGTTGTTTGTGATGGTGAAACAGCTCATGAGAACAAATAGATCTACGAGGTACCAAGTACTGGAGAAAAACTAAAGATGCTCTAATGGATGGAAGATCACTACACTTTGAATAGATATAGTTCAAATCTCAAAACTATTGAGTCATTTGCCGGTACACTATGAAACATGTAAAACTGGAGAAAGTCGTTTTGTGTAATACATGTACAGATGTCTATTGTTATCACTGGATTGTCTGTCACCAAAAGACTGACAGTTTTTTGCAATAAACATTAGAATCAGAATACTTTAATAATCCCTAAAGAACTTATGTAATTATGTAAACATACTGCAGAACTGGCCTGTGTGGACTTCTGGCCTGACAAAATGTAGGCAAAGATGGGGCAAAGGGCTTAGAGATATATCCTAAATTAGGTTTGATGAATATGAGTTACTGTCACAGACTTTTTTTGGCCTACAGAGGGCTGGCACATTTCTGCTATAGCTCTCTCAAGCAATATTTGTGTTGAGTGTGTGTGGTTGAATTGTGGTAAGTTTGTATCTTGATTGTCAGTGCATTACTGTATGTGGAGAATTCCGTCACTGCCTGTGTAATAATGTTTTGTTATTAGACTGAAAGTGGTGCATACAGAATTACTTTATAAAAGAAATATAAATGAAGTGGAAACTAATTGTATACTTTACATTGCATTTAGCAATTTAACCTTCTCTGCACTGATATTCACATGTGATCCCTATCCCTATGGTCACTAAATTGTGACATGGACTTTTAAGATATAATAATATTTTTCAACAAGTCAACCAACAAACTATTTTTCGTTTTCCCAAAGACCCAGAGAAATATTCACCCTTTGCCAAAACCTGGGGTTTGTCCATTTGATGTAGATGAAAAATAAACCTAATGATGCCATTGTTGGAAAGCCAAATTATTGTTATTTTATTTTCTATTTTATATAGACGTGCCTTTAACAATAATGCCCTCTGATCAAAGAAGCTTGGTTATCCCTTATTTATCAAGTGCCTCATCATGTGAGCCAAGGTGTGAAAAAAGGTGTGGATCATTACCACCAGATGTTTCGGCTGAACCACTGTGAGATCCTATCATGTGATCTATTGAGGTCACCTGACACAGGAATGTAATGTCATGTTTTGTTTTGTTTTTAATACTGTATAGATTTTCCTTACTAATTTACTTTTTGCTGCAAATGATTAGCTATTTCAAACTCCACTAAGTAAAAAAGGGCAACTTTTCTGAAAAGTTTTTATGTTGGACTTGCATGCTGGGAATTTAGTTACTTGTACTTCTTAATCCTATACTCCCAGTCATTTGTCTGAAATGTCCGAACCTGTCAAAAAAAACAATTTGGTTTTCCAGTATAGTAAGCCAGGTGAGAGTCATTTTAAATTATGTTAAGCAAGCAAAGAAAAATGCTCAAAATGCTCAAAAAAAGAAGGGGAGGAGAGGGCAGTGTGAGTGTAGTGCTAGGACTTTGGATGTGAGCAGCGCTGGAAATTAGCACAAAACATGAAGTTCTGATGGATGAGTAGCTTGTGTTTTTGTACTCATACTGTAATAGTGTGTGTGTGTGTGTGTGTGTGTGTGTGTG